GTCAAAGTCCTCGTAGTAGTCGTAGAAGGCCGAGAAGGTCTGGTACGGGCAGCCGGCGCAGTCGCTGCCGTTGTACATCTTGCCCTCGGCGCTGGTGGAGAAGCCCTTCATGGTGCGGAGCCCGCTGGGGGCCTTGCCCGACAGCGAGTTCCCGCCGACGGCGTACAAGTCCTCGGCCAGGTCAAAGTTTGGAGTGTCGGTGCCGTTAGTGCTTTCCTTGAGCGCCGCCTCCAGCGCCTGCTGGTCGAGGTCGAGGTTGGCGTGCTTGGTCACGTCCGAGCCGGGGGTGTAGCCCGCGATGTCGGGCCAATCGCTGCCCTCAACGAGACCCAGAAGGAGACCCAGTAGGGCGACGTGGCCCGCCATCTCGCCCACGTTGTTTTGGATCTGCGAGGACAGGGGGGGACAGGCGGCGGCGCGAGCGTCAGAAGCATAACATGGGACGAGCATGGCGCGGGCTCGTTTTGGGGGTCGCGGGGGCGCAGTAGGCACGGAGGCGACCCGCGGCCGCGCGCTCAGCCGCGCTCAGACCGGCAATCCGATTGTGCCAGGGATTCTCAATCCTCGGAGCGAGCCGCTCGCGCTGCGGTCGCAGCACGGCGTGCAGCCGGCACGGGCTCGCTGCAGTGGTGGTTGTGGGGCGAGGCGAGAGGGCCCGCGCGGGCGCAGCTCTCATCTCGCGCTGCGTCGCGCCGGGCGAGGGGCGAGGCGAGAGGCACTTCCAATCCCTTCTTGTGGGATCGTGGGAAGGCCCAACTCCAAATTCGGCGTGCAGCGGTCCAGCAAATTTTTCTTTTTCTCAAATTGCCTGTCAGTCCGCGCCAGTCCGCGCCCTTGTTGTGCCAGTGTGCTGTGGGAGAAAGTTGTATTTTAACTTGGAGCACTTGGAGTGCAATCAGTAACCTCACGCCCAGGACCGGGGAGCTGAGAAGCGCACCCAGTTGGCCGGACGCTCGGCATCGGGTTACGGGCTAGAGAGCCCTAGCCCCGGGGGTGCGCGGTCGCAGGGCCATAACACGTCTCCGAGGGTTAGTCCGCGCTCCAGGTTTCCCCTAGCAGCGGAGCGCCCCCTCTACTCGGAGCTAAAGAATACTCTCCGAGGGTTGGACCCGCGTACCAGGTTTCCCCTTAACTGCAGGACGCTGCCCTCTACTCGGAGCTAGTAATAATACGAGAATACGCACCGCCACCGGAATATCGAATTCTTTTCTTTGCGAGAAATGTTCTTGCTGCGCCGAGTGGCTCTCCCGCAATCGCCGCTCGTCTCGCCGCTGCGCGAGCGAGGGCGGTTACTCACGCGAGGCCTCGCCAAGAAAGCCAAGGACAAGGGGAAGGGGAAGGCAAAAACTGCGGCCGCGGTCGACCCGGAGCCGGACGGCGACGGGTCGGCGAGCGGGATCGACTTGGAGCGGCTCGAGGCGCAGCTGGAGAGGTCGGTCGGCATCCTGCAGCGCGAGTTCCTGGGGCTGCAGGCTGGGCGCGCGACGCCTGCGATGCTGGAGTCGCTCCAGCTCACGCTGGCGACGGGCGGCGCTCCGCTCTCTTCGGTGGCCAAAGTGCTCGCCCCGACGCCGCGCACGCTGCAGGTGTCGGTGTTCGACGCGGCGAACGTCGCCGCCGTCGTCAAGGGCATCGAGGCGTCGGAGCTGGGGCTGGCGCCGGAGGTGGTTGGCAAGGCGGTCAAGGTGGCGCTCCCGCGGCCAACGCAGGAGGCGCGAGAGGCGCTGCGGAAGGAGGTCAAGCGGGCGGCCGAGGAGGCGCGGCAGGCGCTTCGCGGCACGCGGCAAAAGGCGATGAAGAAGGCCAAGGCGCTGCCCTCGAAGGACGAGGTGAAGCGCGCGGAGAAGGACGTCGAGCGGCTCGTCGAGCGCTTCATGGCCAAGGTCGAGACGGAACTCGGGAAGAAGGAGGAGGATCTGATGACAATCTGAGTGTACTCGGAGTCGCTTCCCAGTGAGCCATGTTCATGTTCATGTGCAATAAGCTTGTATGTGATCAACCGCCCGCCACACACAACGAAGTCAAAGAGAAAAACGAAAGATCTCCACTCTCCTCTCTCCCGCCCGCGCCCCTCCGCCCCTCGGGCCCTCCCACCTCGCCCTCCGCCCTCCGCGTTGACCCTTGTGGCTTGTGACGTGCGACCTGGACCTCCCCCCCCCCGGCGCGCGCAGCCCGCGCACGCGCACACGGACACGGGCAGCGAGAGTTTTGTGTTTTCGAGACACGTCGCGGCTCTCAGCGCTCGCTCCCTGGGTAGGCCGGTCGCTCCCCCGTCTTTGGGCCCTGTTGAGTCGTTTCGGAAGTTGAAGTTGGCGCATCACAAAGAACCCAAATCCAACCCTGCCAACCGAGCAAGCCCATGGGGGACGCGAGGTCTTGCTCCACCTTCTCGGCGCTCGCGTCGCCCAACCTGAGAGCCTCATCCGCCATGCCGGGGCACATCTTGACCGGAGCCGGTCACATGTCCATCGTGCCCAAGACGGGGCACGGTCGACTCGACCGCGGCCGATGGCACCGGCCCAACGGCCGACCAAGATTTTACGCCTCCGAACGCCGGGCCGGTGAGGTGGCGGGTCGGGCGACACGGAAAATCGGTGGCTGACAACGACTTTTTGAGGCCATCGGTTTGAGGTCTGCAGACATTTTCTGGATGATCTCGCATTTCCCGAGGCGTAATCGCAGATCCAGACGGCCCAGCAGGTGGGCGCTGCAGGCGAGCCGCCTCACATCCTTCGCCCCCCCCGTCGCTCACGCTGCCTCTGAAGCACCGGACCACCCCCCCCGCGCCCAGGCGGCCTAGCTGCCGCGGGCTCCACCCACGCGGGCCACCATCAGCGCCGCCCGACGGCTCAGAACCTCTCTCTTTAGGTCCCACAAAGGGCGGCGAGCGAGCGGCGAGGCAGATGAATCGAGCTCTTGGACGCATGCCGCCAGAACCTGTGAGGGGTCCCAGCTTGGGCCTTCATTTTGGCCCGGGAAATGGGCGCGGTCCGGTTTGGCCGGGTTCCCGGGGGGGGCCACTGGCCCCCCTTAGGGGGGCCGGTCCTTTAAACCTTGGGCCTTTTATTTGCCCCCCCTTTTCCCCCCTTTTAAGGGGGCCCTTAACCCCCTG